AAATCTCCTGCCGTGGGAGGGGGGAAGGCTGGGGTTTAATCTTCCCTGGTGCCTCGTTTGCGCGGCCTGGTGTCTGAAACTTGTGGAACCCCAGTTGCGGGGTCTGTAACTGTTGTTTCGGATACGAGGAGGTTCACTAGCGGGAGATAAGGGTCCTGATCGCAGAGGGTTAACGCGGAAACGAGGTTATGCAACGCTGCAGAAAACTTGCACTCAAGGATATCTTGTACCTGGTGGCAGAGGGTTAACATGGAAACGGGAGGAATGCAGAGGGTTAAGATGGAAACGAGATTATGTAACCCTGAGAAAACTTGCCCTCAAGGATATCTTGTACCAATAGATAAAAAGTTGTTTTTGAAGTACTTTAGTCCTGTTTGAATCAAGGAGAGGAAAAAAAAAGTAATTTGCCTGCTGTGGGAGACTGTTCAGGGCAGTGAGGTTTTGGTGTGGGAACGTGCTTCCAGCGAGTGACTTCTGCGGGGAGAAGGGAAGGAGACGCTGTGTGTCTGCGCCCGTTAGCACGGTGTCCTCCGGAGGAAGAAGCGAATTGCTGCTGTCTCCGACCCGGCCGAGCCTCTGCGGGTGCCACATCCCGAGGGAGAGAAGGAAAGCTCTGCGCTGTGAACGTGATATTCATCAAGGAACCCTCGTTCCTCTGCCAGGACCGTGCCCAGGAGGGGGATCGGCTTCTGCAGGGAGCTGGTGCTGGCTCAGCTGTGGGAAACGGTTGTAACGTTTCCTCTGCAAACTCCACAGAGGGTTTAGACGCTGGTGAAGATGGAGACAAACGTCAGGACTTCCGCTGTGAGACTTTTTCTTTCCTCTTTTTAGTCAAATATCGTGTAAAGATCCATCAGATGGGCAGCTGCTGGCTGGATGAGTTGACAGAGAAGTGGGAAAGTTCACAGCTGTCTGATAAAAGCCCTCGGTGTGAACAGCCAGGGCTTTTCCCAGAGCTCTCTTTTTTTTTTTTTTTTTTTTCCTAGAGCAAGGACAATCCACAAATCTGCCTTCTTGATTTTTTTTTTTTTTAATTTTATTGCATGATGTTTTCTACTGATAAAAGTAACTCCTGATGCTTCACCGCAGCGAAGGCAGCGTCAAGTGAGCACTTCAGAGCGTTTCTGGACACATCTCCAAGTCATCCCTCAGCCGTTCTCCTCACAAACCAGAGCCAACCTCTCCTAACGAAGGACAGGACGCTCCTGCCCTGGCATCGGCTGCCAAAACGCCGTGCGGGTTTGCTGGGTGCCAGCGTTCCTGCAGCCCTGGCGAGGAACCCACCCTGCTCAGTGCTGCAGGACGCCGGCCCAGCTCTGCTGCCAACCTCGCCAAGCGCTGCTCCACTTGTTTTATTGTCTCTGGATTAAATATTTCCCCCTTGTGACTTTTTTTTTTTTAGTGTTTGAGTTTAAACTGGGCTGGCGCTCCCCAGGTGGGGTAAACGCATGGTGATAACTCCCACCCTTGGACATCCCCATGTTAAGCTGGTGTCTTATTTTAAGTATTAACGTGCTCAATTAGCATCACCTTGGTCTCCTGGGGATTTCTGGATCCTGTGGTTTCTCCTAAATGAGCGGGAAGGGCTGGTGACAGCTTTCAGCTCCCTTGCAGCAAGCTGTAATTCCTCCTTTTTTAGAAGGGGATGGAGATTGTTGGGTCAATGCATTGTGTAAAACCAGGGATTACAAATCTCCAGCGTGTTTTAGGGCTCCCTGGCTGTACGGGAGCTTCTCTGCTCACTCTGGGCTGGGAGACTGGGGGTTATAATTGCTGTTGTTTCTTAGACCAGATTTTGGGTAGGTAGCATGGTCTTTAACATGCAGGGTGCAGGCTCTTTCTGACTGCCCTGCTGGGTTGCCAGATGCTCTCACCTTCATTAGAAGCAGCTCTTTTTACCTATTAGTGATGTCAGGCTTCCTTCCAATATCCCTTGGAATGGCCGATTTCCTTAAGGCAGATGTGAGAACCTGGCAAACCCACACTCGGTTCTTCCTCATTTCTCAGTGACTTCCAAACTCTTGCACTTTGGGGTTCCAGCTGCCCTCTGCTACACAATTTTCATTAAATCTGTGATTTCTGGAGCTCCCTGATGATTTTTCCACTCCAGAGCAGGAAGGGAATTGCCCTTGAATCCTGCAGGCCCGAGCTGCAAATTCCTATATACTGAAACAGCATCCTGCCTTCAGAGCAGAGAAAATGAGTCTGAAATCTGACTGTTCTCACAGCGGCTGCTGCTGGGGAAAAAAAATGGGGGGGTTCTTTGGGCTGGTTTCTTCCTGTTTGGTGTTTTCTGGAAAATAATGGGAATAGTGAGAAATGAGAGACACCCAGGGTGATAAAGCAGCTGCAGCATCCCTCAAACCCTCCATGTTCCCTCGAATTCACCTTGTTTTGAGTCGTTTGTGAAGCCGTAAGTTTCCTGCAGTGGCAGAGAGTATGTTTGCCTCTGGATTATAGTGCAGCAGGTCTCTCTGGATTAATTAAGATTAATTAATAGGTGTGTTTCTCTCTCACAGGCTGGTGGTAAGGCAGGGAAGGACAGCGGGAAGGCCAAGGCGAAGGCAGTGTCGCGCTCACAGAGAGCTGGTCTGCAGGTAAGGTGCAACGCTGCCCACTGGTTCCTCCATCTCATCAGGAAATGTGAATTTGAGTAAAACTTCCACTTCTGGGAGGCAGGTTGCCCCAAACCCTCTTTTTTGGGGGTTGAAAATGTTTTGTGATTTGTGTTGTCATTACGGAGTGATAGGGCTTGCAGGGGCTGTTTGCTGCTGTGTCCTGACTCGGGCAGGATCTGTCTCTCCTACAGAGAGGGTATGAGGATTAATTTGGGTAATTATTGTGAAATCCCATGGAAACGTGTGTGAGGGAGGATCTGCTGTGAAGTTGCTCCTGTGTGTCCCTTGTTAAAGCTCTCCTTGTTATAGGAGCTCTGTAGACTAGACATCACTTGAGTCAAAATTAGCAGTGTACGGTCTAATTATGCAAGTGTATAGGTGTTAACGAGGTTACTCCCACTCCAGTTCCCTGTGGGTCGGATCCACAGACACTTGAAGACTCGCACCACCAGCCACGGGCGAGTGGGTGCCACTGCTGCTGTCTACAGTGCCGCGATCCTCGAGTACCTCACCGCCGAGGTAGGTCCCTGTGCTCGCCTTCCTGTTTAAAAAAACCAAACAAACAAACAAACAAAAAAAACCCACAAAAAAAACCCCTGAAATAATCACTTCCCTTGGGATCCCGAGCGTCTTCCCGATTTCTTGGCAGGTGCTGGAGCTGGCAGGCAACGCTTCGAAGGATCTCAAAGTCAAGAGGATCACTCCCCGTCACTTGCAGCTGGCGATCCGTGGTGATGAAGAGTTGGATTCCCTGATCAAAGCCACCATTGCTGGCGGAGGTGGGTATTGTCCTTGCTGTTCCCTTTCCTCCCTCCTGTCCCTAACTAGGAATTTTAGTTAGAAGAGGAGGGGGAAAAAAATGGGAAAATACACAGGAATTTGGCTGCGGTGATAAATACCAGAGGCTCACCACTTCCCTGGATCCAGTGGGGGGGATGCGTTGCGTGGGAGGAAGCGTTCATGCAGGGTTATCACAAAACTCCGCTAGGAATCGAGGATTTCTTGGAGCTTTTTGGGAAGTCTGTGAATATCTGACAGGAATCCTCCTCCTCTCTCCACAGGTGTCATCCCCCACATTCACAAGTCTCTGATCGGAAAGAAGGGACAACAAAAAACAGCGTAGAGAGGAAAAAAAAAGAGGAAAAAAAAAAAAAAAAAGGCCCACTCCCTCCTGTCGTCGTACTGTACCTGGGACAGAAGAAATCTTGGGGATACGTGGAGTTTTTTTTTTTTTTTTTTTTTT